TTACAAACTAAAGGATTTGATTATCACATGATATAAATTTTTACCTCCCATCGAGGTTTATATAGAAAATTGGCATCAGTATTTGTGCTAGTGAGAACGTCTTTCAAACTCACCTAAATCCAATTTGATAATGGATCCCATTAGACCTCCTTACGGCCGAGTTGTGCTGTTCTTACCTTGTTCTTCCACTCTCTATAGGCCTTGTGCTAGTGACTATAAGATTAAATCTTAAAAAAAATGGCGGCGTGGTGCTTTATTTGTTCTCCCGCAATTCATTCTTCTTTTCTTGATATTACTCCATTGTCATTGCAAATTGAATTCGAATATGTGAGCTTCCCATTTTAATTCTAGTAGTTGGTGAAAACAGGATGCATAAATATTGTGTCAAAGTTCCTATTGCAATTTTCTTCATTTCTTAAAACACAATCTATCTGAAATCTGCTCAATGTTAGCAACTGCAACTTTTAATTTTTCTTCTTTGTCTTCTCTGAATAAGGTCCAAGAGAGAGGCTGGAAAGCCTGTTAACTGAAGCTGGGAATAAATTTTGTGCAGATTGTGGATCACCAGATCCCAAGTGGGTGTAAGTCGTAAGGCGTACCACTTTCTTTAATATATACGGATTGGACACTTGTTAATGTTTCATTTATCTTTAGTTTTACTGAAATTCCTATTATGGTTATAGCAGAATTTCCAAATTTTGATTTCCTGGGTTTTTCTCTAGCTGTTTTAATTTATAGATGAATTGTTGGTATACAGATCTGTGAGCATTGGAGCTTTCATTTGTATCAAATGCTCTGGTGTACACAGAAGCCTTGGAGTGCATATATCAAAGGTTGGAGCTCATTTACTTATCAATCTGAGCCGTCGATTGTTATGACGTAGTGTTAAATTGAGCTTTTATCCTCATGGCTTTTCAGCTTTATGTTTTCCTCTCATTCATCCACAATAAGAACATGTATATTATTTCCTTCGACGTATTTATATTTTAGCCACTTTGGTGTGGTTTTCTTAAATAGGTACAAATGCAAATATCTTTGAGCTAGATTTATTTATATACATAGCATTCAGCGATATGAGGTTTCCGTAAAATATTTAAGAGCGATATCATGGCTAAATTTTCTTAACCTCATTAAATTCTATAGTTTGAGTGGTTTGAAACTTAGTGTGAAACAATAGAAGGTGATGATTTATTCCAGATTATACATTTGTTTTTTCCATATTTCAATATATCAGATTTTACTGCTTGTGCGTATGTACATTTTGCAGGTATTATCGGTTAAACTTGACGAGTGGTCCCATGAGGAAGTTGATGCGTTAATCGAGATGGGTGGAAACACTGCCGTGAACTTGAAATACGAAGCTCACATTCCCGATAATATGAAAAAACCAAAGCCTGATTCTTCTGCCGAGGAACGCACAGATTTTATAAGGTACTAGATTGACCACAACACTTTTTCAAACTTTTTTGTTTCTCTTTTCCTTTCTTTTTTTAAGTTAGAACATGTATTGTGAATCAAATATTTCCCATTTTTCTTTTAGGAGAAAATACGAGCTGCATCAGTTTTCGAACTGTGATTTAACTCTGGCTTGCCCATTTCCATCTCCATTATCGTCCTCCAACTGCACTTCCTCAGGCTGTAGTTCTCAGTCGGCCCCTGAGAAGAAACACTATGAAAAACAAACGACAGGTCATCGTAAACAAGGTCTTGGGCACGCTTTTCGTAACAGCTGGAGGAGAACAGAACACAGGACAGCAAAGAAAACTAACTCAATGGTAATAGTTGCTGTTTCGGAAAAAACGCTTTTACTGTAACAAAAAGAAAGAAAAAAAAAGGTACCAAGTTTTGATCCCAACTGAGCATCAAAAGCTAAATTTAGGAGCTGAGCCTCAATTAATACCAGAAGTTAAGAAAAATGATTTCTATTGAAGTATTTCAAATGGAAATTGTTCTTTGAGATCACCATTTCCATTGTACACGTCGTGTACAAAAATTAAGTCACGTCGTGGTATTGTAGCAACGGTACTAAAATTCTGTCATTCCTTTTCTTTTCTTTTTCTTTTTCTTTTTCTTTTTCTTTCTATTCTCGGATGTAGATGCATAATCCTTTGCATATCAAATTATGTTGTATAGGCAGGTATGGTCGAATTTGTAGGATTGATTAAGGTTAATATAGTAAGGGGCACCAACTTAGCTATACGTGATATGGTAACAAGTGATCCATACGTCATCCTCACCTTGGGAAGTCAGGTAAATCCTTCTCCTTGTTCGTTTCTGTTATCTATTCAAAGATTTTCTACTGATCCAAGCTCTTACTCAATTGCTTTTGCAATGACTTCTTAACTTTTGGTGCAGTCGATGAAAACACGGGTTATAAAGAATAATCTCAACCCAGTTTGGAATGAAAGTCTAATGTTGTCAATCCCAGAAAGTATACCTCCTCTGAAATTGGTGAGTTTCCTTCCTCACATTTCCATTGATCTATTTGGAGTAAGCGAAATTTGGAATTAACTGAATTTCTAGCAAAATCTTGTCTGGCAGAAAGTGTTCACCGAACGGACCAAAAAAAAGAAAAAATCTTTTATGATTTATAAATTTAATTTTCTCTCATTTCATGTAAAAAATATACCCCAATTATTTTTTCGGGCAGCTCGTTTACGACAAGGACACATTCTCAACCGATGATTTCATGGGGAATGCTGAGATTGACATTCAGCCATTACTCTCGGCTGCCAAGGCTTCGGAATCTTCCTCGATCAATGAGTCGACACTGCTCGGAAAATGGAAAGCAGGCCAAGACAACACGCTCGTCAAGGATGGAGTCATCATCCTTGAGGACGGTCGAGTGAAACAAGAAATCTCGATCAAGTTGCAGAATGTGGAGCGTGGTGTGCTCGAGATCGAGCTCGAGTGCGTGCCGCTTACACAGTAGATAAATCGGGCAGATGTGAACTTCAGTAAATATACAAAGTGTAGCAATAAGTCAGTAGTTTTGTGTGTACTGCTTGAGAGTTTTGGAGCCCCTTATTGTTATTGTTATTAATCATGCTTCAGATTATTAGTTCATCAGGAAGAGAATCAGGTTGTTGGTGAGTTTTGCACCCTTGCAAAAGAAGAGTTTTTGTGCTGGAATTTGCTATGTAAATTTATGTCT